TATCCTCAACCTTAATTATGTTCTCTCTACATGCTTTACTCCAAACAAGATTAATACCTCATTGAATCCTTTAACATCAGAGTTACATTGTATCAGTCCTCGAATTGACCTAGCTAATTAATTATTCCTTTACACTGCAAGTTATGTTGCAAACTGCCATTTATAACAATTTTATTCATTCAATCATAATTTCCACCAATTGCTAAGAATTTCATAATAGGTTTACATCGACTCCAAATCATGTATTAATGATCCTCATCCTAATTGGTATCTCAATCATCCCATGAGCAATTTTTCATTGATTACTGATCTGATCGACACCTATGAGCTGGCATTCCAATATAATTAAGAGGAAATCTTAAACCGTCCCGTTATCACATCCATTAATCCTATAGTTTATATTTTCAGTCTTTAAATACTAGCATGTATCCTCCTTACTAATTTGTTAAAACTATCCCAAATTCACTTATTCTTTCTTATACCAGTTTCACTGTTCCATACAAATAGTAATTTAAAACTCAATACAAATAGTAATTTAAAACTCAGCTTGCTTACTAATGGATGAAAATACTCTAATTACCTTCATGTTCTAATAAGGACATAAATATAACTTTCCTTCTTTATCTAATAAAACAAGTAACTTGCAAAAGTTGCACTAATTAATAAAAATTCCTTATTTTAATTGCTTTACGGCAAGAAATTAAATTTATTCACATTCGTCGTCATCTCAAGCTAAGTCGCATGATCCTTTATCAACTCTTATGCTCAGTTATTACTATTAATAACACTTATCACTTGTAGTTAATACATTTACAAGCTCAATATGTGGATTCAATTAATATAACTCATAAACTATTTTCTAACCAGATGCCATCAAGTTACAGAAGTGAGAATTTTCTTATCTCTCTCTCAAGTAGAAAGTCTATCTTTCTTTCTGAATATAAATACTAAGTTCTTTCGTCATCCGGATTACAATCCTTGAACCATTATCTATTTGTTTATCACAAGACATTCAATAGTTTCCTACATTTGATCTCTTTTTAGATTCTAAATTTAATATTTATAAACCACTAAATTCTCGAAACTCACCTCGCAAAGACCGATTAACTCACTCATAAGTTTGGTTATAACATTATCAATTATTTATTTAATACTATATATGAACCACGAAATTCTCGAAACTCACCTCGCAAAGACCCGATTAACTCAGCTCATAAGTTTGGTTATAACATTATCAATTATTTGTTTAATATTCTATTAGAATTATTACAAACAGTGATAATTATTTTAAACCTCAAAGCCATTTTCCTACCTTCCATAGTATACATGTTCCATCATTCTACCTTTAATAATATTCCACTTCTTTTTTTGTCCAACTACATATTCTTAACTAATTATTCTAAAGCATCTTTTAATTTATTCTAAACTAATTATTCTAAAACATCTTTTAATTTTCTAAACTTTCATAAATCTTAAATTTATTTACCGCATCAAATTACTATTCATGATCATTTAAATTCTTAATATCCACCTTATCTCTATTCTCCATGAAATATAACAAGAAACTTTTCAATTACACAAATATTATTCTCCTCTATTCTTTATATTCAAATTATGTTCAAATTATATTCAACCTATAATTTTCCTAATATAATTATCACCCCAATATAATAGCCAACTTACTATCCAAAATAGCGTTCTCAATCCCAACGAAAACCACTAATGTGCCTCTTTGTTACTTTTACTTTTAGTTTTATTATAACTTGGTCCATAGAAACTAGTCGACTTAGTAAACATCCTACATGTACTGGGATCTTAATTATATCCTATTTTTTTTTTCTAATTACCCACTCCCTTAAATTACTAAACTTCACCGTATTAATTCCTAGATTATACTAAACTATCCTTTAATCATATATTACCCACCCTCGCTAATTCTATAAAAACTTCAACCCTCATTACCATCTTATCGTCATTCTCTCTAACCAGACATTACTCCTCATTACTCACATCTTCCTGAATGTCCTTAAGATCTAGTCCATAACTGTTTCATACTTGTAAATACTCCATTTAACTATTAGTCAATCCTTTTATCAATTCTTGCTATCAATTTGTCTTAAAACTTTATTCTCGTATAAGCATAACGCCGAGATCGACGCGCAACCACAATATTTTCCTACACTTCCGGTCGAAATCCCAAAATATAAAAATTCTTTATCTTACGATCCTCTGCTGATGTCATCATTTTCCCTATGTCGCATTTCAAATCTCTAACCAGTATCCTAATTTGCTCAAACCTCTTAAATACTACGCTATTCTCATTTTAATAAATACTAGCTATCTTCATTTAAATCACATTAATTCATACTCCTCACCTTTATGTATTTGATTCTTTTCTTAATATTCATTCAATAACAGGACTAGATCCATTCTTACTTATCTAATTCATTGGTATAACATCAATTCAATAATTGAACAATTATCTCTCCATGTCCGATGTCATTCATCAATATACTTAATCATCATAGCCCACTATTTACATAACATAAATACCTTAATTCCCTTATAGAGTCGTTCCTCGGATTATAGAATCCCCCGTTAAACAAAAATCATTGTTTATCATTTACATACCATCGAGTGTACAACTATATTATAGAATCCCCCGTTAAACAAAAATCATTGTTTATCATTTACATACCATCGAGTGTACAACTATTTTAAACATCAAAAGACTAAATACCATTAGATTTAATTCTTATTTATACCATATTAAACCTTAAAATTCCACAATCCACATAATATCCATCACTAGGTACATAAAGAGCAAAGTAATTTATCTCTTACTATGAATCACAATTTACTTTTCTTATAACAATAATAATTTATATTATTCCCTATATTCATACACTTGAAAAAAAATAGCTGATGAATACTACAATACACTTTACTCTACTAAGCAGTGATTACTCATAAATAAAACTCACTTCATAAAATAATTCTACCAACAGTATTACTTACGGAAAATACTCATCGTCAATTAATATTCCCCGTCACACCAAATCATTTATTTATGAAACTTTGTATGTATCATTTATGTAAATGTACTACTCAAGATATATATATCTCATGCAAAAAAATGCTTATCTCCATAGTTATAATAAATTCCACCAACCAACATCACGTAAACTTCATCAAATAGATATGCTAAAATCAATACTCTAATTAAATAAATCCTATACTCTCAATCTAAAACTAATTAAATAAATCCTAATGTCCTTGAATTAGAACCATCTAGTTTTCTTATCAATTTACACTATCAACTCATTCTCAACATACCCCTTCTATAGGCACACATATACATACAATCATGCATTCTTATAGATGTATTCCACATTCAACACGTATTAAATAAAAATAGCACACTTTCATCATCTAACTTCAACTTATTAAACCTATATAACTTATCTTCTTACATACTTAAATTATATATGGATATTATTTATTCCATATAAGGATTTTTGTTTAAACCATCCCGTTAGCATCAGTAACTAAATCACATCTCTAAAGAACAAGGATACAAATTTTACTCATTAAACAACTTGTTTACTTCTCATTAAACAAAACTTTGACTCTAACCGCGATTCGCGAACAACGCCTGAAGAGGAACAGCAAAGGAGAAGGACTATGTCAAGACATGACACGGATTACTCCGCTAAGTTACATCTAGACTTATGACTTTTCGCTCGATACCACCTTTTGTCATTGACCCCATTCTGCTAGGGCCGACTCGGCACTCAGGGGCCCCAGTAAGCATCCAAGGCCCCCGCGATGCTACGTAGTAAGCCCTACATTACTGCCTCAACTATACATTCCATACCATTTTAATAGAAAACAGTAAGCCCATTAAACAAGAATAACGACTATTAAATGTAAAGTTAAATGTTATCACAATCGGCCCAATCTACATTATCTCCAATAAACAATTTTAGATACAATCCGGCCCAATTTTAATTATCTCCAATAAAATTTAGTTTGGGCCTAGTCATTATCAATCACGTTCATAATATGGGCATACTGATTTTCCTGTGTCTAATAATACAATCAACCGTTTATAAAACAACGCATACGGCAAGGCCCAATTGGAAATACACAACCCTATAACTGCGGAGTTCAATAACATTCTGATAATAGAATAATGTATACATCCAAAATTAAATAACAGAAATATTAAGTTTACATTTATAACTCTGCGGAGAAGATTACAGAGCTTCAGTTGAATCCGCTGCTTCCTAGTACCTGAGAGGTTTATTGGGGGGTGAGTTTTGCAACTCAGTGAATAATAATAAATAATACACTCAGTGAATAATAATAAATAATACACCACATACACTCAAGCAAAATGCACCCTAGTATACTGAATGAACACACAACAGTCAATCATATGGCATCACATCAGCACCCACAAACAATATTCAAATAATCACCATCACCTTGGAAAATTAGTCAGTGGTGAGTCAGCCCGAACCCACCGATCGAGCCGATCTCCTCCCACATGCCGCTCATCCTCTCACATGCTGCACGAGGAGGACCGATCCCCATACTGCGCCGACCGATCTAATCCTCACTGACCATTCCCTCTCACTTGTTTTTTCCATTCTCTCTTTATCTTTTCCATACCAACAGGGAGGTAAACCCCTCTCATTATTTTTCCATTCTCTCTATTCCCAACAGGAGGTAACCCGGTCGTCTCCATCAAATCTAGATCATCAAGCGCTCACAACAGGAGGCCACCCTGCGGGCTGCGATCAAATCAGGTGCGCCCAATAAAGAAACCAACCTGTGGTTTTCCATATCACACAGATCATAGCAGTAGGTGCACACGGGGCGCCGATCTTCCATTTACCCGGCCAAATTTCATATCATATTCAGGATCCATATCACATATACCATTCTCACAAACCCATGGTGACCCACTTCATCCCAATTCCACACAACCCAATTCCAGATAAACAAATTCACCAGCATAAATAGCACACAGCCAACAACATAATCCAGAGACAATTTCACTTCATCATAATTACACCAACTTTCATCCAAATGGCTACAACTTATATATTAAGTTATAATTATAGTGTCGGTAACATCAATAATATATGATAAAATATTATAATTATATTGTAATATATAAATAAAAATATTAATGTATAAACTAAATGTTATGCAATGCAGTGTTGGATTATAATAAATGTTATGCAAATGCAGTGTTGATATGCATTATTTATTATTACTCACAGTGATGGAGAGCGAAGTTCTAGCTTTGATTCTGTCCTGGAGGGGCACTAGATGGACCCGGGCGATCCAAGAAATTTAAGAATGACACAAAACAAAAGTAACTATATCAGATAAAGTATTTCTTTACCACTCTTAGAATTTTATTTTATACTCCTAATTTTTCTACGTAATCTAATCTCGATATTAATTTCTTTTCTATAATAAATTTTATTTCTCTACCGAACTCTCTTTTATTTATTTTCTTCCGAAATCTATTTTATTTTCTATTAGTTTCTACTCTCTATAAATAATTAAATTTCTATAATGAATTTTATTTGCTACCGAAATTCATTTTATAATTTGCCTACCGAAATTCACTTTATAATTTTCTACCCGAAACATTCCGAAATTTCGACAGCATCTCCCCTAAAAATTGAACTTTCCACCTGTTTAAAATATCAACAATTTTATCTAATAACTCCAAATCACACAGCCCATCCATTGAGCAATCAATCAATCCAATTTTCTCATCCTCCATCCGAATATCAATATCAACATTACCTTAAATTCTCAATTCCTCATTTCATTCCATTCATACTATTATTATCAAAATTCCTCAATAAATTATTTCATACTGAATTTAATTTTAACTAACTATTGTTTTTATTAATCAATAATTACTTCATGTTAATTAATCAATAACCATTTTGAATTAATTTTAACTAACTTACTAAATTAAATAACTAAATTAATTAAACTACAATAATAAAATTAATTTAAGGAACTAAAATTATTAGCATAATTTTATTTAATCTTTTGTCAAATTTTCGCTAGATCGAGAGTTTTTATGCGTGCCGGATCAAAGGGCAGTAACTGCCAGTGGCCAGATCCAACTGACAGTGGCAGAGACAGTGGCGATCGGCGGCGGTGGCACACGATCTGGCGGAGGAGCGGCTGGCAGCGAGGCTTGAAGCTGGTGCTACTGTTGTAGGAGCGACAGGCCTGGCAGAGGGCTGACTGTGGTGCGCGGAGGAGCTGCGGGACGTGCTGGCGCGCGATGGAGGTGGTGCGACTGCAACTAGCACGCGGTGGTGATCGACTGACGTTGCTGGAGCTGCTGGAGTTGCTGGCAGTGACGCACAGTTGCAGGGAAGAAGAAAGGGAAAGAAAGAAGGAAGAAGAAAGGGAAAGAAATAAAAAGGAAAGAAAGAAAGAAGAAGAAGAAGAAGAAGAAGAAGAAGAAGAAGAAGAAGAAGAAGAGAGGAGAGGAGGTGGCACAGAAAATGGCGAGGGGAGGGTGAAGTTTACGCTGAATATGCTGATTCGGGTTCGATTCTGGTTTGTTTCAGCCCAAATTTTGGTTTTCTTTGATTTGCCGATTTTTAATTGTGTTTTCGATTCGGTTTATCACTGTACACAATTATTAATTTGCATTTTAAATAATTAAAATACATTTCCAGGCGGTCGTTATTAAAATTTAAATGAAAAATTTTTGAAATAAAAAATTCAGGTTATTTCAATATAGTCAAGCTTAAACGAGTTTTTCCAATGATTTTTTGAAATGCATTAATTATAAATAATTTGAATAAGTTCATTTTGTAATATTATAATTGATTACTATTAATTTATATATAAAAAAAATTATCAATGGTTAAGTTTCTTTGTTAATTTGATTTATTTCAATACTTTTTATTTTTTTAGACCCAATTAATCAATAAATATCATGTATATTCTCTTATAATATGAAAATCATTATAATTTAAAAAATTTGGTAGTTTATGTACGTCCATATTATTATTAACCATTGTTCTTAAAACTGAACCGGACCGGTCTCCGATTGATTTAGCCATAAACTGGATTATGGTCCGGTCTGGGTTAGATAATCAAAATGAGAGAAGAAATCGCTGAGAATCGATGAAAATTGGATAAGAACGGGCAAACTGGTTTGAGTAATTACTACAATTCAAATCAAACCAACAAATAAAAAGAAAAAAGAAAAAAGAAAAAATGAAAGTTGGCGCATGTGGATTGTTCCGAAAGCCAATGGTGGCCGAACCACTTTCGCCTGAAGCGGATTGCCGAGCTGTTAAGCCTGATGTTGGCGGTGAGGCTTACATCGCTATGGTCGGACTTCAACGATAGATTTAAAGTTTATCTTTCCATAGTATTTTGTTTGTATGAAATAAAAATAAAAAGCTAAGACTTTCGTTTTGCCTTCCTTCTCATGTTTCAATGCTTGAGAAACACTTTTTTAATAGGCACGTGGTTTCTACAGTTCCATTTATACCATCTTATTGTTTTAATATACTGTTTAGTTGGCAATAATAATAGTGGTAAAGTAATAAATAAATAATATACTAATAATGGTAAAGTAGCAAAATAATGGTAAAATAATAATAGTAATAATTGTAAAACAATAATAAAATAATAATAATAATATTTTAATTTATTTTATTATTATATTTTTCAAAATAAACAAAAATTTTTTAAATAATTATTTAAAAAGTTTTTATTAACTTAGGTTTTATATTTATATAATGTTAGGCTTATTAAGTTAAAGAATATAACATATATAATGTTTTAATCCGTTTAAAATAAAATTATTTTAGATTTTATAAATCCTATATTTTTTTCTTGTATTTAAAAAATATTATTGTATTTAAAAATATTTAAATATTAAATATAAAAATTTAGTTGAAATATATTTTAATTATTATATTTTTAATATATTATCCTCTCTCGTTTTAATTATAAACTAGATATATTAATTCTCTCTTAATCGTGTTTTAAAGCTAAGTTGTAGATGTATATTATTAATTTATTGGACTCATTGTTAGAAATTTTAAAGTGGATTAAGAATTACCTTTTCTTATTTAGGTGTCTTATTTTTCAGTAAAATGGCCTTAATTATTGAAATAAAAAATGTAATATAACATTTGAAATTCAACTTGAATGGTGCAGAAATCTCGAACTCAGGCAGCCACGTGGAATGGGTGGACCAATTTTTTATGTTGAGCCATATAGTTTTGATAAACATTAATTCTTGTAACCTTTATCTTTCTATCTTTCTCCTCGCTAATATGGGAATTGTTGAAGTGGGATGATTTGAAGTTTATTTCCAAGTAAAATTGTCAACATTACAAGCATTTTCTACAAGCATTTTCTATCGATATTGATTGGGATGATACACATTTTTCCAATCTAGAGCTCCGTATGTACTCTACTGGGGGGATTTATAGGTCTTAGACGATGAAGATTATGGGTTAGGTTGGAGACCCTAAAACTATCATTATTGTTGATAGTGACGCTTCTCATACTTTTATCTTCGATTAACTAGTATGTAGGCTCAATCTCAAGGTAATTCTCATTCCTCCTTTGTTTGTTTGGGTGATGGTTGCAGGGTAACTACGTTTGGAGTTTACAAACAACTTTAAATTCAAGCTAATAATTATGTGATCAAAGCACACTTATATGTCTTTTCCTTAACGATGTTAACTTCATTATAGGGCTAGTATGGCTGGAAAACGTGGGGGGAAATACAAATCAACTAGGTTAAAATGTACATGAAGTTCCTTTACATTGACAAGCCTATTCTCTTAAATGGCGATCCGTCCTTAAACCAAAGTTCAGACGCAATTATAGTCCCTTCATAAAACGACTAATGTTGAGTTCGGTGCTCTGTTATAGGAATTGGTTTTTGAGGCCTCCTTTCATTTAACTGATAGTGAACTTCATGATCATAATAATTAAGGAATTCAATAACTCCTATAGTCATACTTAGAAATCTTTGGAAATATCAAGTCTCTTCCTCCTCTAAGGGCTACTGATCCTGAAATTACTCTAAAGCTTGGGCAAGAACCTCTGGATGTCATGGCTTACCACTATGGTCATGTACAAAAGGATGAAATTAAGAAATTTATTGCTAAGATGTTACCCGCTGGGATCATACAACCTAGCTAAAGCCGTTTCTATAGCCCGATATTACTAGTCCGCAAGAAAGATGGAAGTTGGCATTTTTGTATTGACTATCACTAGTTAAATAAAGTAACCATTCCGAATAAATATCCCATCCGGATGACTCAAGAGCTGCTAGATGAATTACAAGGAGCTTATTTTTTTTAAGGCATTCTATTAGGTATTGCACTCTATTAGGTATCGCCAATCATTCTAAGGCATATTGCACTCTATTAGGTCGACATGATGGATATGATTCAAAAGTTTATTGCGGCTTGCCCTCACTTGTTAACAACATAAATATGAGACCCAATCTCCAGTTGGCTTACTACAACCCTTACCAATACTGGATATGATATAGGAAGAAATAAAGCTGGATTTCATTTCAGGCCTGCCTCTCTCAAATGGTGTTGATTGCATTTTGATAATGGTTGATAAACTATCAAAGAATGTGGTTGATAAACTATCAAAGAATGCTCACTACCTCTCCTTGCTCATCCCTTCACCACAGAGCCAATAGCTGAGTTATTTACAACTAAAAATTATCCGATTAGATGGATTTCCTAAGACTATGATCAATGACCGTGATTCACACTTTTTTAGCAATTTCTAGAAGGAACTCTTTAGGTTGCATGGTATATAACTCAAGTTTAGTTTTTACCACCCTCAGACCGATGATCAAACTGAGGTTTTAAATAGAATCTAGAGTCCTAGTTCCGTTGTTTATGCTCGAAGCAGCCTCGAACATGGTCTAAATGGCTAGGGTGGGCTGAATATTAGTACAATGCTAGTTTTCAAGGAGTTGCTGGAAAGACTCTATTTGAAATTGTTTATGTGAGACTCTCTCTCCATCCATGCAATAATTTATTCCAGGAGAAGCTCGTGTGGAGGAAGTCTCTTCTTATCTCTAGGATCGTGATGAGATTCTTCATCAGCTGAAATTTAATCTTCTTCATGCTCAACAATTGATGATTAAATATGCAATCATCGTCATCATGATGTTCAATTCCAAGTAGGAAATCAAATAATCAGTAGGAAATCAAATAATCCTCAAGCTCAGACCTTATATTGGCAGGCAATAACAATCTCAAGGGTTAATGCTAAGGCTAGCAACATGTTTACTCAACAGGCCATTTGAGGTTATAGGTAAGGTCAGAGTTATTGCTTATAAGCTTTCTACTACTCCTTCTGCATACACCCAGTCTTTCATGTGTCTCAATTGAAGAAAGTAGTGGGTAGTCATAAACCAATTTCAGAACTTCCTCCACAATTGCTAGTTAGTGAGGAACCTTTGGCTGAGCTAGAAAAAGTGATTCAAACTCATTCCATTTCTAT